TAAAAGGGAAAGGCCATTTAAGAAAATCACTCAGTTCTCTTAATAGTACCACCATGCCACTGTAAGATTATTAGTTTTCTCTCGACATTTTTACCTTTCTGAAAGTTTTTCTTTGCAGCATATTATATTTCATATTCAAATCTGTTTGCCTTTTAATTCAGTTACATGTGAGAAAACTATAGTTTTATTCCCTTCATTTTCTTCTCAATATTTTCATGCTCCTGTGGTAGGCAGTAGGTTAGGAAGCCTCAAACACTACCTGTGCACAAGCTGCTTGCTGTCAGGCCTTGGCTTGAGCCATGGACACCTCTCTGAATGCCCAAACAGAGCATGTTGAATTTCTGTTCTTAATCTCTCTGTGCTTTCTGTCCTCATCTATGCCAGCTCGAGAAGGATGAGTGTGTGCGTTTTCTCCCACAGGAGATGCTTCTTACCATTGCCACCACCTACCTCTCTGGGCCTCTCTTGTCTCTGACACTTTCATCTCTGCCAACATGGCATCCCAGAAAGGTTGGCCTTGAGCGTACTCTTCAGTCCTGATCCGTTCTCTTTCAAAGCTCTCACAGCAGCCATTTTGTCCCTGTGAAATATTTCTAATATATAATCCTCTGAGTTGTTTCCTTAGCCTCTGCCCTCTTGAGTCCATGATCCCTGAAGGCAAGAGCCACAGGTGCCTCACACACTCTAGTTCTCAGCTTGGCAGATGCCACTACCATGCATATGGTAGGTTTTCAGCAGGAAAACTGTAACCACTGCCCAAGCAAACAATATTTCAAACTGTATGTTAGTTGGCTCCTAAAATTATCTGCTACCAGTAGGCATTGAAGCTTTAATCCCAGCACTTGGGAGGCAGAGGCAGGCACATGTCTATGAGCAAGGCCAGCCTGTTCTACCTTGTGAGTTCGGGCCTGCTAGGGTTCCATAGTGAGACCCTGTCTCAAAAGAAATCATTGACTGGTACCAGGTTGATCACTTTGAGCATCTGCATACCAATACATAACTGCAGAATAATCTTCCTGCACCTTTGTAGGGAGAAGAGGAAGGCTGCCCAGCACTGTTCATCACAGAGATGCTGATGTGAGCAAAGGACTTGAAAGCCGGAAAAAAAAAAAAGCTTAAATCTGATCCCAAAGCATTCTTTCTTTTTTTCTTTTCTTTTATTAGCCTTTCTTTAAGCAATGATCTTCTAAAACATTTAGAACATAGTTCATCTGTGTACAGCTCTGAAATGAATTGATTTTCATCACACACACCCATACATGCAGGAACACACAGAAGAAAGTGCTTAGAAACTGTCAAAAAAATTCCCTGCATTTACATTTACTTATTTATTTATTTATTTTTATTTATCTATTTATTTACTGCATGTGTATGTGTTGTGGTATGTGTATGAATGTTTGCCTATGTGTGGGTGCACATTCTTGTACATACTTGTAGATGCTAGAGGTTGTCACTGGGTGTCTTCCTTGATCTCTTTCCAGTGTTGTTACTAAGGCTGGGTCTCTCATTGAACCTGGAGATCACCAGTTTGGCTATTCATGTGGCTAGTCAGTTAGCTAGCCATGAGGATCCCTGTCTCTACCCCCTGAGCTCTGAGCTCAGAGATTAGAGATGGGCCACCATGTCCACCTGGTTTTTAGATGGTCCTTGGGATCTAAACTCTGGTGCTCAGACATAAACAACAATCACTTTATCCACTGGCCCATCTCCCCAGTTCTCCTCTGAATTTAACTACAGAACCCATGTTTCTTTGTCATTGAATAGAGGACATGACATAGCCACTCTCCAGGGGGTCTAAGTTCCATTACATTGTTGTCTTTTCACTATCCACATGGCTGTGATCGCATCACATTTTCCTCTCCTTGTTGACCACGGATATCCGTCATCTCACCTATAACCTATAGCAAAGCTTTAACATAAGCTCTGCTACTTCTGCTGTTTTGGTTGCATTATTCATTATGAATTTAAGTTATTCACTGATTTCTGAGGGAGCCTATGTATTTGCTTAGGTTTTTTTGTAGATAGTGTTGGGTTCAAACCTGAATTTGATTCCAAAGATTGTGTCCACTCAACAAAAGTCACCATCCAGAGCAACAGCAAACTGGCGTGGCTTGCTGCTGCTACAACTCCAACTGGCTCAGCACCTGGTTTATAGTAGGAAAATCAATAAGCTTGTATGAGTACTAAGAAAACCTTTCCTGCCCATCCTTGAGAGAAAAAAGGGCTGGCTCAAGGGTCAGCTGCACCCCACAAAGAGGGGCCTGGAAGCTCAGTCCTTTCAGCAGCACAATCAGGTGTAGCTTTCAAATTTCCACTTGGGATACTATAGCCTTGAAATAATAGGATTCCATCTGTGACCTACATTTCAATGTTGTAGTTTTCTTGGCAAACGCATCTGACTAGCAATGGTAGCTTGCCTGTTTTCTTCCTTGGTAGATATCTCTGAAAGCTGCCATCTGAGGACTGTTATTGAGTTCTGCACTTAAGGTTTCAAATCTAAAAGTCACAAGCTCATTATAGACATATTTATTCCCTACGAGTGTTTTTTGGACCTAAGCAGATGGTTTGGACACCACCCAGGCTAGTTTAGTCAGATCTTTTTTATATCCAAACAATATTTTATTATCATGGTGAAATTATGGAACACAACAAATAATGTAAATGCTATTTTTTGGCACTTAGAAAATTTCCATTTAAAAAAAAAATTACCAGAATTAAACTCTTCCAAACATATTCGTATAAATATCCGCTGCTTTTTTATTTGTCCCGGCAAATATAAAAGTCAGTAACTTCCTGAGATGTAGCCAAAGGAATGGATCACACCTTTCCATTAACCGATGGCATCCTTGAGTTTGCTCATTTATTCATCTCATCTGCAAATAACTACTGAGAGTCCATAGGCACATCAAGGACATGAATGTAATTTTCCTAACAGTTCTTTCATCAGAAATTACCACATAGAATAGGGAGGAAAAGATATATTCATTTTGGGTGATGATTCCAAGCAGAAGGCATAAAGACCATGAGAGGGACCTAGAGAGAAAAAAGAACAAAACCATCAGGCAGACATGGACTTCTGTGGTGCCACCATCAGAAAAGCTGTGAGCGTCCTCCAGCATCGGAAGAGAATTTGGGCTTTGCTTTAAATGACCCATCAGTGATTAATGTCAATGGAAAGATGTAAACAAGGAAAGGTAGGCAATACAAAGCATCCACTTACACATCTGACATTGTCTTGTCTCCCAAATGTTACGATTCAACTCATGTCTGGTTGTGGAACGACGCTATTGCCAGGTGTGTTTGAAGGTATACAATTTTCAATTGGAATACTTTAATTCAAAATTGCTATATTTTATTTTCCCTCCTTAGTTGGAGTCAATATAAGATTTTTATATTTGTGATTTTTCCCCCAAGTTACCATGGTAATGTGGGTCTCTCACCATTAAGCATGAGGGGACATACACTGTGGTAACACGCCTTCAGGAATGAGAGAGAAATCAGTACATGACTTATGTAAAGTAAACACAGTTCCATCATCTTTCCTACTTTGTAAATGCTATGAGGCAGTGAAAGGGGGCACTCCCTGACTAGCTTAGAACACTTTTCCTTCCTGCTGTTGTCCTGTGTTTCCCTATCTGTGTGCATTACCAGAAAGATGGTTCTCTTTAATTAAAAAATATTATTTTTTTCAAGAGAGATCGCCCTGAAAACCAAACAAAACCAGAAATGAAAAAAGCTTGCTTTCTTTACAGGCTCACTTTTTAATTTTCTCTGTGTACCACACTGTCACTTAAAGTGTTTGTGAACACAGGCCCATGTTTACTTGCAGGACCAGCGCAGCACTGAGGTAAAGGTAAAAGGGTCAGTGTTGAAATTCTGTAATGTTTCTTAGATGAACATTTTTGTGTCTTTCTGGGAATAGGATATATCAGGGACATTTTCCTATTTTTAAAATACATCTTAAAGATTGTTGCTGTGGCCCATTTCTGCCTCCTTTTCTGACGTCATTCACATCCATTTGAAAGAAGACAATGAAATAGGTTATAAGGGTTGGGAAGATAGCTCAATACCCAGGGTTTTTAAAAAGCATGGGTAGGGGGATTGTGGTGGTAGCTACTCATAATCCCAGTGTTGGGAAAAGAGAGAGAGAGAGAGAGAGAGAGAGAGAGAGAGAGAGAGAGAGAGAGAAAGAGAGAGAGAGGCAGATCTCTGTAGGTCGGTCTGTGCTTGGAAAGCTCCAAGCCAAGTGGAGACCTGTTTTAATAAGCAAGGTGGACGGTTCCCGAAGAACCTGAGGTTGTCCTCTGTCCTCCACACGCACACATGCACTCATGCAAAATAAATTATAAAAAACTTCTGAAATATGAACCTAAAACCTCGAACTGGGGCATTGCTAAGCCCACGGAGCGCACTGATTTGTCAAAAGAGAAAGAAAGAAATGTGTGTTTTCATGACACAGACTCCTTCTTTAAACAAAGTGCAGAAAAACCGAAAGCTACTTATTAGTTGGAGTGGTTTGATTTTCCAATGGTTTTTAAGAGCTTTCCTAAGACAAATATGTTGCTTCTATGGAGCTGGCAGCTTTTCATAGTTGTTAAGAAAAAATAATAATAAAAGTATGTCAGTAGCCCAATTTATCATCCACGCATATGAGCAGTAATCTACTTCTGAGTAAATGTCCTTGGCAAGATTGTATTATTTCAAGGACATTAATGGGAAAAGAAAAATGAGTTGACTCCTACATTTCTTTCTCAGTATTTCCTTGAAATTCTGCATCAATGGCAGGTCCTGCTGTATACATAAGCACTTGGCTTTACCCTGAGTTAGTATTTTCTCTTAGTTCTTCAGGATAATTTCTCCCCCTCTCTCTTTTAATGGCCATGATTATAAAGTCCTTACTGGGCACTAAGCTAAGTATGAAGTTGTTCTTCATATGGATGCAAATGGAAAGCAGAGGTGAATCCTCTGTATTCCTCATGCCTTGTGTCTCCAGATCGTACTCAGTTGGAAATTCCCAAGCTCACTCTTAGATTCAATAATATGCTAGAAAGATTCACAGAGCTCAGAAATCTGCTGTTCTCCTAATTATAGTTTATTATAATAAAAAGGCATAGACTAAATTCAGTAAAGGGTTAAGGGCATAGGATGGCGTCTAGCAGAGCCTCCAGCACTAGATTCTCTGGATCTAGTGGAGTTACCAGGATAACACTGAGTTCTCTTAGCAATGATATGGGTCAGTGCAGGGAAGTGTCCTCAGCCAGTCAGCCAGGGATGCTCAGCTGAGCTTCAATAGTCAAGTTTGTTACTGGGAGTCAGTCCCTAAGTCATTTAGTGCCAACCATTGACCTCAGCTATTCCAGCCCTTCCAAGAGGATAAGTTGATTCACCGCAGCCCAAGTCCCAGGTATACAGAAATAGGGAAAGTATCACGAATTCAATTGTTATCCTATACTATCTGGCATGACCCCAAACCTCAGATATATGATGCTCTTATAAGCAGGATATCCCCAGACTCAGAGGCATCTGTCAGGAACTGGTTAAGGGCTAGTCAAAGGCCAGTGCTGAAGGTCTTTGGAGGGG